TTAATTTACCGAGCAATGTCTTTTTCTGACAATACATTTGCACGTTTAAATGATCCTTATACAGTCACTATGAATTCAATAATTTACTTTTAAAAGGATCTAGAATCTTTAGTTTATAAAATGATATGATGATAGTTTATAAAAGCATAAGAGTTATTTTGAGAGCAAATGATATACAATCAAAGACAAAAACTTTTATATTTATATTAATTACAACGTATTTATTTTAAGGTAAGCCAAATTAAAAGAGTTCAGAAATTGGAGAGTGTTAATAAAAATTGTTTAATAATGAAGGTTCGAAAATTCACTAAAACAACGGGCAATCATTTAGTGATAGATTAAAATTTAACTGACAATTTATTACATAGGTTTGTATTACTTCTTCTGGCCGCGGAGGCCCTTAAGTCTACTAGGTAATAAATAAATAAGCGATCATATTTCTGCTTGTGAAGCATAATTCCATTTTTTAACAAGAACGGTTTGAAGCTGTTCAATTCTTGTTGGAGGCGGTGAACGAAGTCTAACCTGTCTCTTTACCACCATAAGTGTTCTGTGGGATTCAAGTCAGGAGAACTGGCCAATTCATTGTGGTAATCACTATATACCCCAAATAATTGGTGATAATTCGAGCTACATGTGGGCAAGCATTATCATGCATTACCCCTCCTACCCAATAATGGAGGGAATAGGACCATTCCAAAAGAACTTCCTCGATGTACCTAAGTGCAGTCAAAGATCCATTCTGTATGGTGAGTTCGGTATTGACATGAACGTTGTTTCCACATCATACCATAACTGACGTCTTTGAAAAGGCTGTGACTCACGACATAAGCAAAGCGTTCTCCACACACTGTCCCGGACATCTGATTGCCACAAACCAAAAGAGAACAGCCCCATTGTGCAAGTGTCTAAGCGAGATGCTGATTTGCGAAGTCGTCTTTCTACTCGCTTCCTCTCCAGAAGTAGAATCTGATGCAAGACTTCTAGAGACTAGGCTATTCTCACGAAGCATTCTGTCTGATTTACAACACACCTTTAGGAGTTGACTACCTATAAGGAAACCGTTAAATGACGGTTCCGCAGTGTGGTAAGAGCAATAAAACAATCCACTCTAGCCGAACATCGCGGCCAGTACTACCCTCTCTTTGATCGAGACTTCCAGTGACCCTAAGCCGCTATAGACTTTTGTAGATGGTAGAGCGCGGCATTCCCAGGACAAAGCATCATCCCGGGCGAGATCTTCTCGACTTAATACCACGCGTTTCAGAAAAAACAATTAATAATTTATTCAACTTTAAAAAACTACAATTAATTCACACGATAATTTGGCTCTAGAAAGAATGAAATTGAACTGATTTTCTTGATGATTGATAACACGTAAAAAGTTATTTATGGTGTGTTTATGTTTTAAGTTAACTATTAATTTTTATGCCTAGTTATGGGAAATAAACAGATACTTGTATTTATCTCAGGGTCAGGTTTGCAGGGAAGCTTCGTACTCTGAGTCAGCCGATTGACCCTACATTTCCTTTCTTTCTTACAATTTTCGCCTGATCCTTCGGCATAAAAATTTTGTTTTAATTGGTGCTCTACGGGGTTTTGACGGCCGATGGCCATTTTTGAAAATTTGCACTATCAAAAACCCGTTTCGCCCGCAAGGCCGTCCCCGAGGAAACGGGTCGTACGATGTTCTCGTTGGGCAATTTTACCGTTTTGGGTGTTGCCCGTTTATCGACACTTTCTAAACCGCGGACGTCGACTTTTTTACCCAATAGTAATTAATATTCTATTAATATTATATTTCTAGAAAGTAAACAAGATAAAACATTTTCTGTAATCGGATTTGCTGTGCTTCCAATTGTTCATAGGAAATTGGTCTAACTCTTGAGTACATGTTGAAAGCTCTGACAAAATAAATGAGCTTTTTAAAAGAAGCAGAGCTTTTACTTAAATAAAAAACTCCAATCACCGTGAATAGATTTTTAATTGGAATGGATATTAAGTTACTAATTTCCGTCTGACTGTTGAGGGCAAATCGTTGGACCGGCATTAATACTTAAAATATGTTTTTCCCTTTGAGATCCCGAGAACCTTTGACATTTCAGACAGATTTACACGTCTGCGCTTGACACAACAAAGAGGCGACGTCTCTGGGTCAGCTTTGAGCTCAAAAGCGTTCACGAAGGTGCCCTGCCAAATCGCTGTGGACGCTTTCCTTTTCTATCACTAGGCCCGGCGTACAAAGGGAAAAGCGACCTCAATTATAAAACCTGAGGGGAAACAGTTAACGAAATCTTTGATCAAAACGGTTTCATAAAATTTCCACGATTTTGCGGTTTTGACCGTTGTAAAATTTGTCAAAATGATCTCGGCCAGAACAAAAATCCCTTGGACCTTGTGGTAAAACGAGCCTTCCTAAAAATATTTAACCCAATACATAAAATAATTCAATGAGAAAGAGCCTGAACCTTTAAAGCTTTTATGGTCGAAAGACTAAGCTCTTCCAACACATAAAATTGAATATATTTATTGTGAGTGTACAATATGCGTGTCTTCTGGCCGTTATCTTTATTCCGCCTTGCCTCGTTTGTTTATCTTGTCATTCACATTACGTGCATTCAAGAATATAACTATTCAAAGTTCAAAATCTCTTAACTTCACATTGATTTGTATGTATTCTCAATAATGTTAATGCATCTTCTGCTTTTCTCTCTCACTTGTCATTCCGCCTATCTGTCTGATTGCATCTTTCTGCCCGTCTGTCAGTCTCTCTCTCTCTCTCTCTCTCTCTCTCTCTCTCTCTCTCTCTCTCTCTCTCTCTTTCTTTCTTTCTTTCTTTCTTTTCTCTCTTGTTTTAATTGTTTATCTTTATTAGGGGGTATGTCTTGGAGTGGTGGAGCAGATGGGGTGGAACGCAGTTCTTCTTACAGTCTCGAACTGCTTATCTTTCCAAAAAAAAAAAAAAAAAAAAAACCGAAAACAAATCGCTATAGATATCTGCTAGTGTAAAAAGGTGCTTGAATACTGACTTATTTCTCTTACCTCTCCACACACTCTCAGTGTCTCTCTCTCACTGGCTCTCTTTCTCCCTCTATCTTTTATCTCATTCACATGCCTTTAACTCTTTTTTTAATTTTCCCTACAAAATCTACATACCTAATTTTATGTCGTTTCTCTCTCCCTTGATGTCTCTCTCTCTCTCTCTCTCTCTCTCTCTCTCTCTCTTTCTCTCTCTCTCTCCCTCATTCTCCTAACTCGTTTTCTTTTTCCACACAAAATTTGCATCAATAATTTTATTATTGCTATCAAAATTTTCTCGTTTTCTCCCTCACTTGCTCTCTCACTCACTCTCTCTCTCTCTCTCTCTCTCTCTCTCTCTCTCTCTCTCTCTCTCTCTCTATCTATCTCTCTATCTCTATCTCTATCTCTCCCCCTCTGTCTATCTATCTATCTCTTTCCATTTCATTGTATCTGCTTCTCTCAAATCTATTATCTATGTACATCTAGTAATCTTCCAGTATCTTTTTTTAACATATGTTCCTCTCCTTTTCTTTCACTCTGTTCTGTCTGTCTGTCAGTCTCTCTCTATCTATATATCTATCTAATTATCTATCTATTTCTTTCTATTTCAATGTATCTGCTCCTCTCACTATATGTATATCTAGTAATCTTCTAGTATCTTTTTTAACTTATGTTTCTCTCCTTTTCTTTCACTCTGTTCGGTTTATCTGTCTGTCTCTCTCACTCCCTCTCTCACTCTCTCTATCTCTCTCTCTCCTCATTCTGCCTTCACTAATTTTTCGCCACGTTGCATCTCCGTTAAACCACCGAACAGAGTAAGTACAAAATGAGTCCTTTCTGGAAAATAATTTCTAGTCTAGAAGCACAAGAGAAATCTCGCGGGCATTAAAAGGAAATGCGCAATGATACTATCAATTTCTCTCCCGAGAGAGAAAAATCTAGGTTACATCCTTGACACAGATGAACACCACTTTCCTTATGATGTTGTCTTGCCAGGGGCCTACTTCCGATTGTATTCGAAGGAACGCTGCATTCTAATAACAGACCGTTCGTGACGGAAAAGCTTTAGTTTTTCCTCTTTGAACTATTACATTTCGTGCTAGTTTTGTTTATAAGTTGCACAATTCCCTTCACAATCATGAATTAGGAAGTCTGATAAATTAATTCAAAAAGTCACAAGTTAAATTTAAACATTCAAACCACCTTGAGTAATTTTTTCTTTCAATATTATACAAACTTATAAAAATCATAAACCTTTGTCATAACTATAACAAAAAAATCTGCAAACGTGTAACTTTAGGTATTTGCCTAATCTCGCTAAAATTGAACTACCATGATGAACAATTTTCCAAAACATGTTATGTCAAGAGGTCAACAGCGGATTAAATGAGACTAAGTTCAAAATGACAAATTTTGAAGGATTATTTTTTGAAGGGAAGTTGTTAGTAGTGATCGTGATAATGACCAAAGTTGGTTCAATCCTCTAAGCCTGTTTGAAAGGTTCCGTTTGCAACCACTAGTGCCAGCACTTGATAGGCATCCTACAATTCCTTTCAAAGCTTCAAAGCTATTTCTTTTTTCCTTCAATATATTTCTTTATGATTTATAACGAATATTTAGCATATTTGAAGTGAAATCAGCATAAAATTGGTTAAACAGTGGATGTATAGTGTGATTTAGTGTTTAAAGTAGAACAGAAGTAGAGTATAATTTTGTCTCTATTTGGAATAAAGTTTGATGTTACTGGATCGTCTAATAATTAGTAACAATTTACTACATTGATTAGCTAAAAATATTTAATTAAGGAATTAATTTTGTGATATATATAGATTTCTGACCTTTAACAGACCTAAAATAAATAGAATAGTTTCCCAGTTGTAAATCTTTTGACACATAGTTTTAGTTTAAAAATGCAATTTCAGAAATTTTATGCCTCCTGTGTAAAAATAAATAAATAATCAATTAAAAGTGATAAAAACCTTGTCTGGTGTCTGGTTCCGTCTTAATCCTCAGAAATGGTTCGGCACTGCTTCCAACAGTTGGTGTGCTAGTTGTTACTGGACCAGGTGCTGCCAATTTTTCTATAAAGTACGGTCCTTATTTTAAAATATGAATAGTCAAAAAAATAAAAATAATAATAAAAACATTATTTTCAGTATTAGACACAAACCGGCAAGAAGAGGGTTGGCTGCAGCAATGTTGAACTTTCTGGCATTGGCTTGGTTTCTTTGCAGTTCCTGCAGGAAGGCGAGTGTTTGGTTTTTGTTTGTTGCTCCAACATTGTTATTCTCTTCCTGTTTATAATTTATTGCAATAGATAAGTACAGTGAAATGATTAAAAGTTTTTTTTTAACTCACTCTTTCTTCATTGTTGAAATCGAAAAACTGTTCGAGCTCAAACGACTTGAATATGTCTTCTTCCTCGTCAATTGTGCCGACAAGACCTGTTAGGTCGGTCTGCGTCAACTCGCCCAACCCTCCACCAGTGTCCTGAAATTTACAAAAAATCAAGATTAATCACAAATACCATGGAGTTCATAGCAAAATGAAAAAGGGCTCACAAGGCACTGCGACAAGTCGACCATCTTGTTGTCTGCATCTGGACACCAGAGCAGATCGTCGTCTATAAATGGCATGTTTGTAGCGGCCTGAGCCGCACTTTTCACGACCGCCACCCTAGCTTCCTTTACATAAACTCCTGTAAAAATTTTAAAAAATAATTGAATTACTTATTTATAGAAAACGTTATTTAAAAAAATTAACAGAATTAAAAGGGAGTATTTTAATGTAAAAAAAAAGGCTAAAATAGTTTAACGAATACCTGGATATGTTGGGTAAAATGATTCTCCGCTTGCTCCAACACATCGACTTCGCTGTTATAGATTCTGAAACAGAAAATTCAAATATTAATTTTTTTAAAAACCAAAGTTATGCATATTAAAGACTATATTGAACAATAATAATATTATAAGAGAGAATTATTTAAGAAATCTTAATTTTCTCTTTATATAAAATATTTCATGGTATATACAATGTCTGGGTCTATCTTGTTTTTACTCAGATACTGAATATATGATAATTTACCTATGAGTAACTATTTTATTAATTATTCTGGATTAAATGGAATTAACGAAGAAGCATTAAGAAGCAGTGATTCAGGATTAGAATTTTTATTGACTAATGTGTAAACCAATCAGTCTTAGCATGTGGTAAATAAAATTTTAAAAAATATGCTACATACTTAAATGCAAAGAAAATGTTGGCTGTTGTTTATAATTATAAAATTCAAATGGTTGAATGTAATATGCATTAATTAAAAAAAAAAAAAAAAAATGTAAGGTAGAATGATTTTTCGAAATAATAAAAGAGTGTTTAGATGACTTGCATTCATCCTGAGAAGATGAGTTCAACTGTGATTAAGCTTGGAATTAGCTTGTACAGTTACATTCTTTTAGTCGATTGAACAGCATATTGGAGTGCAATCTGTCACTCATTAGGACAATCTCTTCATTTAAAAAAAAAATATTTAAATAATACTAGTTCAGAAAATAATGTTTGTTAGAATGTGGGAAATTTAAAATAATTTTTTGAAGGAATTTAAAAGAAGAGTTTTTTTTACCAAGTCACTTTTCCCCAGGATCCTGACTACAATCAGTGAATCATCTAATCATCTATTCGTTGGACTGGTCGATGAAGCCAATGTTTTATTGAAATCTTCAGTCTCCAGTCTTTCAAAGATCATTGTTAGTCCTTGCAAATTGTGCCGTTCGGCATTCTTGATGGATAGTTGTCCAGGACACAATTTTTCTATGTTAAGATTGTTTTGTTTTTTTCTTGAGAATGTTGTTTTGTGAAAAACCTTACTGTGGTTCTCATTTTGAAATTTCTGCACCCTTATAGGACTGTAGGTGGTTCTGAAAGGATGGTTTGGGCGAATTTTTCTTAGTACAATGAATTTTCTAAAGCTTTCAAGCTCATTACATACAAAAAGTGAACTAATATCGTTCCTTCCTCCTATTTTATTGTTATGTCAAATGTGTATTATTTCTACAACAAATTCTGTATTTAAGTAATGTATAAATATCTGATAGAGCAGACGCTGGAAAAAAGAGATCCCAGTTAATACAGATTGACTCTAAGTCTGAGTATGGATCAAAATCAGGTATCAATGGAATTTTTGTGGGGGGGGAGCAAACGGCAAGGTGCAATGATGCAAATTGAAACTAAGACTGCAGAGTCTACAATTATCAATGGAATTAAACCAAGAATTAAAATATAAGACTTGGGCAGGCCTTGCAGACATAGATTGTGTTTATTGAAAACTGTGCCAAGGGGGACAAAACACTGGATATTACCAACAAAAAAATAGTCATTTATTCAGACAGACAGGTGTCACTGGATAATCTAACTAGTATCGATAATAAAGTAATAAAGTTCAGGGCCATTTGAGATTGCATCAAGGCCCTATTAGACAATCAGTACCAAGGTGCACAGAGGGGCTACAAATGCTAAATTGACCAAGAAATGATTGATCAGGGTCCTTTTGCGGCATACCAAGTTGTCAAAAATGTAGATCCATCAGACTATGGTTTAAGAATAAGTATTTGATTCAAGGGGATTGTATTTCAGGATAAAGGGAAAGAATCTCATTAAGGGACCATCACAGAAACTAATGGCGGAACTACTAAATCAGGACTAGATTGATAGTAGTACTGATAGGACTCTGCAGATTGTGGAGGCATGTGTATCGATTCAAAGCCTGTGCTGTTGATGTGAAGGCCTATACAGACTGGGATTTCTACTGCTGGGAGAGGAAAAGCACAGAGCTGGACAATACAACACTAAAGAAATGAATCGCACAATGGAAACCCAGCTTTCCTCAGTCTGTTCATCTCTTCAAATCGCTTATCGTTTCTGCTTGGAATACTGTTATGAACCATGGAATTTTTTCCTATATTATGGTCTTCAACAACCTTAACCTTCTAAGCACTCATAAACTGGGAGTTTTAATATATTTCTTTAAAATTAAATCAAATAAATGTTCCAAAATATCTACCAGATTTTTCCCCATATTCCTTATCCAAATCACCAATCATATCCCAAGTCCTCAACACTCTTACAACAATTTATCCTAACCCTTCAGAATTGCAGGTCAAGACTATGGAATTTTCGTAGAAATGATAAAGGCAAGGTGAGCGTTTTGTTTAATCTTTTTTAAAAGATAGTATTTACAGTTTGTGTTTTCAACTTACGGATTTCACGCTTAAAGCTCATTATCATTGAAACAGGTAACAAGCGAGCCACGAAGTCCCGACGTGAATTGAAAAAGAGAACAAGTTAACCGCCGATTCCCCGCCAACGCGAGTTTCCAAAGCGAAGATTGCCGCTCAATTTTGAACGTGCACAAAAAGTTACAAAACAACTAAATATTTCCCTAATAAACACTGTAATGTAATTCCTGTAATAATATATTTAATTAATAAATACTGCAATGTAATTAACGCATTTATTTCCATGTTTAATTTTACATTTTTTAAATTTCAAATTTGTCATATAACAGTTTCCGCCCTTTGTTGACACTGTGTAACACTGTTGTATTTAAATTTAGATGTAAATTGTGTTTTTGTTTCATTAGATGGTACTTAAATTCAGATTTTTTTATTTAGGAAGTTTTCTTTAACTCTCGTTTTAATTTCTCTGCCGCTTTGTCCTATATATTTAATATTGCAATTATTACAATTAAGTTGGTAAACCTTGCTTTTTGACAGTTGTCCGAAGAGCGCGCCTGAGAAGATTTTATTATTATTATTGCAATTTATATTAAATTTATTTCTTATGTGTTCATGTAAGAGATTTAAAGCGCTATTTGCACCTTTAAAATAAATAAATAAAAAATTTTTTGTTTGTTTCAGGAGTGGCAGGAGGGCCTTGATTGTAGGATTGTAGCAAGCGCATTCTGTCCGTTTTTTCAACCCGTGATCACGTGTTGACTTTTGCGTCAGTCCGGCGTCTGCCGGTTTCCCGAATGTCCGGCCGGGAGAAGCGAGACGATCAGAAAGATCAGCATGATCAGCGTGATCGGCAGGAAGAGCTGAACCCCTTTTCGGTCAGATTTGACCCACTGGCCGCTCTCTACAGCAGGAACGTGACGATTCCGGTCGTCAACGCGCCCACCCTCGACAACATCTCCAAGTTCGTCGCTGGCACGTCGGGTGTACAGATCAAACCAACGAAGACGGTGATTTTAATTATCAATTTGAAATATTTACGACCTATTAATTAATATTTTTATCTTTAAATTTAGGCGCAGGTCAAAGCAGAACCACTACCAGTTACAGTTACACCACAACAAAAATCAATAGGTAATTTTTTCTTTTAATAAGTATAAATATATAGGGTGCAGTATAAAAGTTCTTACCCCTCAACTTTCCTTCATTCGAACACATTATAGTACTCTGTATACCATCGCTCAGAAACAGTCAGTCTGAATTTTTGTTTTCATCTTTACCCAGCAATGCTCTTCATGATTTTGGAATTATTAAGTATTTTATTAGGTTATGTAAGTATAAAATACAGGATGTAGCTATTGCTAAGGTTTGACCTTACCATCAACTTCCTTCATTTTTTCACTTTAAATCGCCACACTCTCTATACTACTTTATTAGCGATGGAAGGCCATTCTTAATTTTTGTCTTCATCTACACACAGTAATGAATCTTTGTGGGTGTGGAATATCGTTGAATAATTTATTGTTTATGTTTTTGAATAGAATATACAGAGTGTAGCTATTGTAAAGGTTCGACTTTACCCCTCAGCTTTCCTTCAATTGGCTTTTTACATCGAAATGCACTGTATCAGTGTTGGAACGGCCATTCTTCTGCTCATCTTCATCGTACCCAGGAATGCTTTCCATGTATATATATATATATATGCATATCCTAGAGTTTTTTATTTGGCTATGTTTCTAAGTAAAATGTAGTCAGTAGTTTTGTAAAGTTTCAAGTTTTCTTCATTAGGCATTTTACATTGCATCACCCTGTATACCATCCCTAACCAACCTTGTATATTACCATGTCAGCGTTGGAACAGCCATTCTTTTGTTCATCTTCATCGTACACAGGAACACTTTTCATATATATGGAAATATACTTGAATATTTTATTTGGCTATGTTTTCGAGTAAAATATACTGGGTAGTTTTATAAAAAGTTTCATGTTTTCTTCAATTGGCGTTTTACATCCCTAACGAACCACATATACTACTGTATCAGTGTTGGAACAGCCATTCCTCTCTTTTCATTTTTGTCATATCCAGGAATGCTATTTTCATATATACATACATATCCTAGAGTATTTTATTTAGCTATGTTTCTAAGTAAAATGTAGTTGGTAGTTTTGTAAAGTTTCAAGTTTTCTTCATTTGGAATTTTATACCGCATCACCGTGTATATCATCCCTAACCAACCCTGTATATTACCACATCAGCGTTGGAACAGCCATTCTTCTGTTCATCTTCGTCGCACCCAGATAAAAAGTTTTTGTAAAAAGTTTCATGTTTTCTTCAATTGGCATTTTACATCGCAACCCCTTGTATGCCAATCCTAAACAACCCTGTCTGCTACCATATCAGCGTTGGAACAGCCTTTCTTTTGTTCATCCTTCACACCTAGAAACGCTTTCATATGTAGAAACATCCTTGTGTATTTTCTTTGGCTATGTTTCTAAGTAAAATATACTAGGTAGTTTTGTAAAGTTTCAGCTTTCCCCAGTTTCCTTCAATTGGCAACGCCCTGAATACTATTGTATTAGTGGTGCAATTCTTTTTTTTTGTTTTGCACCCTTCTTCAGACCTTCATGAAACTCATATTTTTTATTTTCACTTTTTTTTATAGTGTAACTTAGCCAACTTTCAACCGTTTGATACGGATTGAACAGTTGATCATGTTTACTGAAATTTTAACACTGTCGTTTAATTATACTTGAAACAAGTTCATATTTGTTAACTTTGTCAGATAACAATAATCACTAAGAGGCAAAAAAAGTGACTACCCTCGTTTTTTTTTTTGTTAATTTATTTTTTTAAGTAAATACTTATTACTTTTTAAGTAAATACTTATTACTTAAAGAAAAACATAAGCTATAGGTAAATTTAAAAAAAAATTCTTTTTATTTATTGCAATCAGTACATAATATACATTGAGCAAATAGTTTAGTTATAAACAAATCTGACAGACCTGTCAGACCAGGAGGCAGTGGGGAGAGAAACCAACCAGTGCTGGAACTTTCTTTTATTTAATTTAGGGGGGGGGGTTAAAATTAATTCAGTGGGTTAGATAGAAGGTCATGAGGCCATCATTGTTTTAAACGACGCGGAGGATTGTAAGGGTGAGATGTTGAGGAAAAAGTTAGGGCCAGTGGGTTAGGGTGGAGAGATAGTTTAGAGTGGAAAGTGAAGAACCGTGTTCGGATAAGATCTTTCATGAAAGGGATTTTAAGATCTTTATGGATCGTTTGATTGGTGACATAGAAGGGAGCATTGAGGAAACAGCGGAGAACTTTAGTTTGAAAAGACTGAATTCGTTGGATATTGAATGATTTGGCCAAGCCCCACAGCTCGACTCCGTAGGTCCAAATAGGTCTGATGAGTGTTTTGTAAGTGGTTAGTTTATTATGTATGCTTAGTTTTCATTTTGGTCCAAGTAGGTGTCTGAGTAGTACATATCTTTTGTTAAGTTCTTGCCATTTTAATCGTGTATGTGGGTTCCAAGTAACTCTACTATCTAAGTAAAGCCCAAGGTAGCAGAATTGGTTTGATGGTGGTATTATCTTGTTGTAAATGTGCACTGATGGACAGGTTTGATGTTTGAGCGTAAATGTAACTTGTTGGCTTTTTTTGTTTGTTTAACCTGATCCACCACAGATTGCACCAGTTCAGGTAATAAGGTTCAGATGTTGTTGGAATGCTTCTGTTGGTAGGATAGGATTGGAGTGTGTTGATAAGATAGGTTGTGATTTGTGTGTTTGGATGTGTGGGTATGTCAGCAATGTAGATGGTGTAGAGGATTGGGCCTAGGATACTTCCTTGTGGAACACCAGCTTTGATTGATGTGATAGGTGAAAAATTGGTGTTGATTCTTACTTAAACCATCAATCCAAGAGGAAAGGTTTCACAATAAGATAGTAGGAATGAGGGAGGATACATTTTAACTTATAGAGGAGGCTGGGGTGCCCACATACTTGGCCAAATGCTTCCGTAATGTCCAGAAATACGGCTGAGCAGTATTGTTTGTTTTCTAGAGCTGAGGATATTGTGTCGACTATTTTGAAGCACTGCTGAACGGTGGTTTGGTAACCTTCCTAGTAGCTAGCCAAAGGGAGTTGTCTTGTATGGATAAGGATTCAAGGAATGACTGGAACTGGGATGAACGGTATTTGGATAATTCGAGTTTCAAAAATAAGTGAGTCGGTTAAATGTTACTTTATCAGAGGGGTTACAATGGCGATGCCATCACAACCTTGCTCTTCGTTTGGAGGTTATAAGTGTACGGATATATTTGGGAAGATGAGAATTTGGAGAGGACTTTTGATGAGTGGCATGTTGGATTTTACTTGTGAGAATACTGACAGCTTGTTCTATTTGGTTAGCAGTTTTAAGCGGAATGTTAAATTTAAGGAAATGTTGAAATAGTTTCCAGTTTACTAGGTTGTTGGTTAAAGAAGGTCTGGAAGGTGTATGAATGGGAGTTGTGTCGAGAGTGCGGAGCACAGGAGAGTGGTCTGAGGACTGGTCGTTTAAAGATTGGATGGAAGGAAAGAAGGAACCTTTACCAGATGTCACGAAAAAATCCAACAAGTCGGGACTGCGGTTTTGATCAGTGGGCCAGTAGGTTGGTTGATCTGGAAATAAGTAAGTATAATTGAGAGGGGCGAGAACTGAATTTGTGGTTCTGCTGCCCCATCCCAGATGTTTGGCGTTAAAGTCGCCCCCTGCAAAAAAATGAGAACCTAATTGTCGAAAAGTTGAGGATAATATATGGGGATTGAGGGAGTACAGTACACTGTTGACAAAATGATCGGGAACTGAGGAAGGGAAATAGAAATTGAGGTGTGTTGATAGGAGTCGGTGCTTTCAGAGAGATGAAGGTGATTGGAATAGTGTTTCTGACTAGGAGTGCCATGCCACCTTGGGTTCTTGTCCTGGGTGAGATGTTTTTTAAGTTGTGAATCCGTTTATGTGAAAGTATTGTGTTTCTGTCCTGTGTTTCTGTTAGTAATAATACGTTTCTAGTTCAAGTTTGTTTTTTAGTAATCCATTTGAATTCCAGACTGTGAGGGTCCTCGGAGAGATCATTGGGAAAGTTTAGGAAATAATTCGGATATAAGGATTGTAAGAAGGGATATGAGTGGGGTAATTAAGGATTTAAAATCGTTTAAGAAGGAAGTGAGGTGGGTCAAGATGTCAGTAGAAGTTGGGGCGAGAGTGGTGGTAGGAATGGTTGGTCTGACAAATCTACCTGCCACTTGACGTAACTGAGCTGCTGATTGATTGTCCAGTGTGTTCGCTGATAACTGGTGGTCTTCCTGTTGAGGACTGTAGATGAGGTCTGGAGGTACATGGTTTGGTTCGGTTGTCATTCATTTTCCTGGATGCTGCCGGCGGAGTCCCAGTTGGTGGAGCAGGAAGGGCTGAGTGATCTTTGTTGTTCTGCCTATGCATTTGTATATACTGCAATTCTTTATGGGTGGCACATCCTTAGTAGTGGGCAGGGTGTGCACTGCCACATAAAGCGCAAATGGCGGGTAAGGTTGGTGGTTTGACGCAGTTGGAAGAAAGGTGATGTCCTGCACACTTGACACATTTAGGATGGTGGTAGCAGTATGCCCTCGTATCGCCATATTTTCGGCATTTAGTGCATTGCGGGATGTTTTTCGCGCAACCTTCTCCCCAAAAAAGAATACGCATCGCATGTGAGATGTTCCTTGGCTAATATGCAAAGTTCATAGACCATAAAATAGGATGAAAGCTTAGCAGAGTACCTAAATTTGCTGTCTTCTTCATGACCATACCTTGAATCCAGTGCACTCTTACTTCCACGTCAGTTCTATGTTGAATCTTGGCTCGGTTGAGGTGCACGGAACAGAAAGACAAACTGACCTCCCACAGGCAAGAATTAAGGAAAATAATAGGCCTTTTAACATAGAACTTAATTTAATTACCAAAAAATTAAACATTCGAAGGCTGACATGAAACAGCAGACATCAGTACATGTTCTTTGTAACCGGAAATCATCAGACCAGAAATAGTACAACACTAACGCATAGAGGAATTAGTGCAAAGGAACTCCTGAAAGATCTCAATTCAA